CCTCGCTCCGCTCGGGTTCGTCAACTAGTTACGTTTTAACGTTCAGTATACATGTCTTAGAAATGAGATATTTTCCCGCAGTAAAAAGTAGCCTATATGTTAACCCGGATAGCCAGCTATCATCATACCAAATTTCATCAAAATCTGTTTAGTGATTTTCTCGTGATGCGTACCCAGACAGACAGACAAAAAATTTAAAAACTCTAAATTCGGCCTCTGTTTCGATAATAATGACTATTTCCATAATATTTTCCAAAGAATATTTAATGTACAGATTCGAATCAGTTATAATTTTATTATATGTATAGATGTTTTGCTTATGTTTTATTTAAGTTTTATAATACATTTTAGAACATGTTTTATTATATTCAAAAACATATTTTTTATGCACTGAAAGTGCAGTTAAGTTAATGTACTTATTTTGGTTATTTTAATGTGAATTCAATTTTTAAATATATATATATATATATATATATATATATATATATATATATACTTAAGATAATAATTTTGATATAATTATATACTCTAGATGAGTGTGCTCAAAACACTAGATTTCTAACTTAAGTTGATGCAATTCCAAACCTTTTCAGAAAATAAACTTGACTTGATTATTACACAAAAATTACCTATTACCTACATTTACACAAAAAATATTTTCAATTTACGTTAGAAAAATCTGAAAATCCTTCTATTTTTATTAGAAACCAAATGGGTTGTAACTGAAATTGTCTCCGTGATAAGTGAAACGCATAGAAATCATAATAAACTCCACATCTCCTGGTTTCGCGATCTCGAGTAATAACAGCTTATAATAGAAACAGTTGATTGCTGTATATTTTCTATACAGAGTGTATGGTGACTGTGCATCATTACGGTAATCGTGTGCACGCGCTGTGCACCTAATGCTACGTCTATCTATACATATAATAAAATTGTAACTAATCCTTTCCGAAATCCGAATCTGTACATTAAATATTTTTTGGAAAATCTTATTAAAATAAACATTATTATCGATGCAGAGGCCGAATCTATATTTTTTAGAATGTTTGTCTGTCTGTCTGTCTGTCTGTCTGTCTGTCTGTCTGTCTGTTATCGCATCACAGAAAAACGACTGGAGGGATTTTGATGAAATTAGGTATGGTGATAGCTGGTTATCCAGGTCAACTATAGGATACTTTATACCGCGGGAAAATGTCTCATTTCTGAGAAAAAATACAAAAACTGTAATTTAGGTTTTTGGTTATCTAAACGCGGGCGGAGCTGCGGGTAATGCTACTACTGAAATAAACGCACTGCACTTGACTTAATCATTAAAAAAATATATAAATGTATTATAAAATTTCATTATGTTTTCATTTCTGAGCATTAATTTTGTCATTATATTCGTTTTATTATTTAATGTTAAGTAGAGTTGTAGACGAATGTAAGTATCTCATTTATTTTCCTATTCATTTATTTTGTTTTGCTCTTTGTATCAGATAAATTGTCATATCAGACTATTATAAATGTAAATATTTGTATGGTTGTGTGTTTTTGGGACTCGGGTCGAAACGGACGGACGGATTTTGATGAGATTTTATACACATATAGACCTGTGATCTGGAGTAACCGATAAGTTACTGTTAGACACCTAGTGACAGTCGAGCGAAGCGAGGCTAAATCGTTAGTTTCTTATCAAATATCTTAATACTACCAAATCTATAAGTTTTAGATTAAAAAACCATACGTTGAAAGTATATTATATTCATCAAAGTATCAAATCAAAGTAAAAAATGACATAGTAAAATTCCTTGCAATTTTAAAGTACATACTCCATTAGTTTGCTTGCTGATTTACTAATGTCTAAAACGTGTACCAGCTTCTGTAGTAGAAGGCAAGTTATATGTTTGCGCTCGTAATTTGTAGACATTTGTAAGAGTCGACTTGAAACGAATCGGTCTAAAGTAGAGCTGGATCTCGTTCTCAAACTAAAGTAATTTTCTGTGGTTTAACAACGGTCTTTAGAAATTTAACTGTAATAATACATATTTGTTTATTTTATTCTTAACTAGCAGAACCCGTGGCTTGGCTCGCGCTAAAACTACAAAAAAGTCTCTAAAAAGATAGTTTCATACAAACTTTTATCTCCTATTTTATTGAAGAGCCTAAGCTTAAGTAGCCTATATCACTTTCCAGTCCTCCAACTATCTCCACATAAAAAATCATGCCAATCTGTCACTCCGTTTCGACTTGAAAGAAGGACAAACAAACAAACAAAAAAACACACTTTCACATTCATAATATTATTATGGATATTACATTTCGCTTATCATTATTTTAATAGGTTAATGACAAAAAATACATATATCTAACTATTTCTAAGTTAAAATATTGTATCAATAAAGTAATATTACAGATATTTATTATTTTATTCTACTGTAGTTGTATTGTAAAAGGTAAAAACAGAAACGTAAGTTTATTATTATAAAATCATTATTGTATATGAAACCATTACTTTATAGTAGCATAATATTGTTTTAACACCACAAGTTGCGTGCTTATAACTTAACCGCTATACATTATCAAGCGATTTCTATCTGAATCGATAAACTTTCATACCGATTATTTCGATTGCGAATATTCATGATTGTTAAATTGGATTCGAATTCAAATTAGGAATCGTACTTTTTTCTGTTTGCTGTTCTGGTATGAGATTTTGTAGTTTAGAAAGCTTGAAATAATTGGCAAAGAATTTTTCATAACGCAATTTTATATGAAGTTGGGACATCTTCAGAGATATTGTTGTTATCTCATAAGATATTGTTATATTTAATTTATTGAATCAAATTAAAAGTCTTTTTCTTTTTTTATTAAATTTATGCATGTTTAATCAAAGGTTGCCATGAGCTCTTCTTAGTTTATGTTAAAAAAAATATTTCTGGCAAAAAATAAAAAAATAATAAATGGTAAGAATATCCACAAAAATTATTAAAAATCTCTAAATATATGTTTGATGAACCATAATATAATGATTACTATAAAATCGTAGTGTTTCAACGTCACATAATATTATTTCTTTATAATTATTAATTAAAAAAGTAAGAAAAAGTCCACTAATTGAAATTTCCTTGGCATTACTTCTAACTCGTCATCTTAACATCGAGGGTACTTTACGTCAACAACGTGCTTGAATGGAAAGACTAACCCACTGTGCGGACGCCCGATGTATATTCTCAACAGTCAATTTATTCATGCTGGTGGTTTCATGTTATAGAGTAATATCGATGCCACTTTCACTGCCACCGGAGTAAAGTGTCTAAGTAATCTGTCGTGTAAATCATAATTCCATACTCAATCGATATTATATTTCCATGTTTTCTTTAGTTCTTTTCTTAAATTAATAGTGTTTTTGAATGCTGCAAGGAATTTATTAGTTTAATAAAGAATTGAATTAGCAATTGGTAAGCTTTCATAATATATGTATATACATTAAGTGAATGAAATGTCCCGAGATAATGTTTAACCCTTCGCCCAAACCGGATTTAATTTAAAATTTTCAAAAATACTCAAGTTCGTTTTTTTGGGTATAGAATTTGCCAAATTTTTAGTCGATCATAGATTAAATTACAACAAATTCTATATGAGACTTATAGGAATACGCCAGTAAAAATTTAGGCTTCTAGGTCTTGCGGTTTGTTCAGAACAAGTTGCTTTATGGTGTAAAAGATAAATTGTAATGACATTGGTAGAAATTATACTATTATTATTTCATAAATTGCTTTAATTGATTTAACTTAGGCCAATTATTTAATTTTCATATCTATTGTTTTTTAATGAAAATATAATTATACATACGGTGTAAAAAATATTCTTGTGCATCTCAAAAAATAACATAGCCGCGGGAAATGGAGGAGACAGAGGGCAAAATTTGGAGTGATGCGCAAATATAAATTGCAGAAGTACCATTATCACTATCTCTTTCATATTCACACTTTTAGATACATCCATCTCTTTCTCGCATTCCGTCAGCGTGGGAACGTAATGCAGCGGCGTTTTTCCTGGAACGCGCGCGTGCTATTAATCAAATCGTTCAGACAAAGATCAACGGATAAGAGATGGGTCCAATTTAAATTAATCGACTATCTCATGTTAACATTTTCGTTTAATTACTCTTAATTAAAAATCTGTTAGATGTGCAAGATAACCTTTTAATTTAGCCTTCTGTACTTTGCATACGGGCTTAGAGTTTTGTACTCTCGCACTTAATTTTTTTTTGGAATATTTCTTTTTGTTAAAATAGAAACTTCGTTCATTGCTGGTGGTCGTTACGGATATTTCATAGATCTTCCTTCATAGATTTGCATTTTTCCTCGGAACTTAGAAAAAACGAGAATAAATGATGTTAACTCGGTTTTTGCGTTTTTGATGTTACTGTTTAAACTGAAAGTGGTTAATGAAAGCTTCAAAATCATCAAATTTTATTAAAAATGATAATAATAAAATATACATACTAGTTTTTGACCAGTACTCGAAATTGGACCATAATCATTGTTGAAACTTTAAAAATAATAATACTGAGCATTTTTGTCTTTACCTATTAAAAAAAAACTATTTGTTTCCAATTTTTTATTGATAACACTAAAGCATGTCAAAACTACTAAAAAAAAATAATAATTTATAAATAAAAGATTTATTTCAAAAATTTTGACAATAATTGCGGAGCATTTGGCTTTCAAATATCATCGTTTCACATTTTATGCAATTTTCGTAACGTAGGTATATTATATATTTTTCTGGAGAAAATGAACGTGTTACTTGCTTACCCTCATTATTTTCATAAAATATAGTATAATTTTTCAACAGTAGGTTTATTTTAAAAACATTTTTAAAAAAAATCGAGACAAATTTACATGGGGAATATATTTCGTTTTAAACAGAGACTTGTTATTATAAAAATTGATCTCTTATCGATATTATTTCATCTACAGACGAGGGTGAAAGCCGGCGAGTTATGGCCGATGGAGCGGCCGGAGGGCATGCCCGTCATACAGTCGCTTGAGGTCATGTGCGGCAAGGACCACATGGACGTGCATCTTACATTCTCACACCCCTTCGAAGGCATTGTGTCTTCTAAAGGTTGGTATTCCTAACATATATATGAATAATAATTCTAAGTAAAAAATATTTATATAATTATACTTTGTGCTTATTTGTTTAAACGACCAATACTTGTACTTTATATATTCCCTCAACGACCGCGGACACGCCGGCGTTATAGTTAACAATAGATTTCTTAGAAATTTAATTAATTTCTTAGAAATTTACCTGGAGGTGTTATGAGATTTTCGTCTATTTTAAAAACAAAGTATTTCTAAGATTTATGTTCATTATAAATGCATTTTATCTATACAGGGTTACCAATAACCCTGTATAGATAAAATGATTTTTTTGCTTTATTAAAGTAAAATGTGAAATTTAATACCAATAGAATCAACATTTAAAAGTCAGTAATTCTGTATTAAAAACTCGTTCGGTGAATTGTTGTTTGCACCGAGACTTATAGAAACTTATAAAATTTACAAAAAAATTACAGAAGCATAGCATTATATTATTACATTTTTTTACTAAACGCCATGAGTCTACTACAAGTTCGGAAAGAAGAAGCCTTAGACCTGAGAAGAACTGGCGAAAGAAACTTAGCGGGACTAATATTATTGCTAAAATTATCGTGATCTCAATCTTATATAATTTAATATTTAGTCGTAAATATTTATCTTCGGTGTAAAAGTACTTTATTAGTTTAATAACACTATCTCATCCCATAGAAATATTATTAGCATTTATGAGTTCATTGAGCATAAAAAACAAAACAGATGGTTAATATGTCATGTGTTCATATTACGATTATATTACTTTGATAATAAAGCTTTCGTATTTGAATTATAGACGCTTTCCCATAAAAGTTATCATCTTTAAACGTATTTTAATTATTTGTAAACAAAAGAAGTCTGTCTGTCTGGGAACGTATCACGAGAAAACCACTGGATAGATTTTAATTAAATTTGGTACGATGATAGCTGGTCATCCGGGTCAACATATAGGATACTTTTTACTGCGGGAAAATATCTTATCTCTGATAAATCTATACTAACAGTTAAAACGTATCTAGGGACGAACACGAGTGGAGCGAGTATATAATATAAAATATACGTAAGATCAGAATACTTCTGTACATTTATAATTTCCACAAAAGAACGTAAAGAGATTCAATACGCTTCACAATCACTTCTCAGCCGTCACACACGTAATCAGAGCGCCTCTAATTGTTGCCTCTAATTACGGTTTCACTCACAATTATGACGGAAAACTGAATTATTAATATACTGTACTACTTGCTACTCTTGAAATGGGTCACGTTTTGGTCAAAGTTACTGTTAAGAAAGTGCGATTCGCACAGATTAGTCATATTTCAATTAAAACTATTCATTATACACTATTCTTATTAACATTGTTAATACGAAAGTGTGTTTATGATACTGAATTGAAGGTAGTTGCTTGATCTGGGTTCAAATGCCACAGCGTTACATATTGTCGTCTTATTGCTTATTTGTCCAAAAGACCAATTTACCGAAAGAGTTTATAATACAAAATTATTGACTTTTAAAAGGTCAATTCTATTGGTATCAAATTCACATTATACTTAATTAAAGCCGAAAAAATGTATTTTATCTATATAAGGCCACGATATCTAATGCATGGAAGTATCTACCTAATAATAAAGTGTAAGACTTATAGAATATTAATTATATAGGAATATAACTGTTTGACGTTTCAAAAGTGCTTGTAATAAGTCTGATTGAATAAACTTTATTTCATTTCATATAGTTTCCTTTTTAACTTTTAGTATTATAATTAAAAGACCGACGTGTTGCGTTGATTGGTTATTATATTGGTTATTATGTATAATAAAGGACTAATATCTTAAGACGTCGTATATTTAAAAGAGGTGATAAAATTACTAATATATACTTATTATTATCTAGTTAGACCACCCGATTTGTTGCAGTTTGAAATATCAAAGTTACTGTAAATTATTTTAAAAAAATATTTACAACTTATACGAGCTTTGTATCGTTTGAAAGATTTTTTTTACGAATTTCATCTGTATTTATTAAAGTAAAAAAATATGTACAGTTAGACTATTTTGGTTATTTTAGACTAGCGGCTCACCCTTGCTTCGCTCGAGTAGAGGCGACTCTATATAAACGAAAACAAATTATCCCACGGGAATCGTAAATTTTTCCGGGATAAAAATTAGCATTTGTATTATTCTGATATATGAACTATATTATTGTAAAGTTTCATTGAAATCCATTCTTACTAACTACTATTCGCTCACAAACTTTCGCATTTATAGTATTAGTAGTATTAGTAGGAAGTAGGACATGAAGAGCAACAAATAAGATAAAATTGAAATTATACCACATAGTAAAATTATAAGGAAACTTGTAAAATACTTTTTAGAGTAAAAAAAGATAAATTTATTTAAAAATAATTATTTGTACGACGCTTCGTTTTAAAATATTTTCCTGGTCTCAATATTTCAGAGGTCGCATCGAATCGATCAACGCTTTGACGAATGCAAAAGCACGTGCTGCTATATTTTTTATTAAAACAAATTGTAAAACGACGTAAAAAATATTTTTGTTTCCTTTTAATATATTATGACCTATAATAATAAATTTCGTATAATTTCGTAAAATATTTTAGTCTGTGTAATTCGTTTCTTTAGAGAAATTATTATCAGAGCTGATAATTCATTTTATCATTATCAATTTAAAATGTCATTACGTTCCATTAAAACTTATCTTATTGCAGGTCAACATGGCGATCCGCGATGTGTGTACGTGCCGCCTTCTACGGGACAGACGTATTTCTCGTTTCGGATCGCATACGCCAAATGTGGTACTAAACCAGGTAAGAAAAACTATTTAATAATTTATATGTATATATATTTTATGCTATTTAATAATTTATGATGATAAATATGTTCTGAGACTTTCTACGAAGAAAATAACAAACTGAACTATAATAATATACATTTGTATGTATGTACGTATGTATCTTTTTAAAGAGATTTTAAATTATTGTAGAACGATACGAAAATTTTAGATTTGAATAGATTAAAAGTAAGTTTTATTTTCTATACGCCATAAATTACCATAGGGTCTTAACCTCGAAGACAGAACAGTCGGTTCTCTTTTTAATAAGCTTAATATATAATACAACATGTTGCCCAGCATTTGTGTCATGGGGCATAGGCTCATCTTAAAATGTTAATTTTATTACTTATATTTCATTACCAGTCGAAAATTATTTTCTAACATTTGTTATATGGAATCAAAATTTCTAATTTATTCAAGAATGTGTAGAATAATATGAACTCATTTCCGCTACGCATACAAAAAAGGTTTCGCTTAATTCACGAAAATGCAAATGGTCCGAAGAAGATGCTGTGATACCAACGCGAACTGCGTTTGATCGGTTTATAATATTGGGTGAATGTAATAAAATTGATTCTTTATGATAAATATTGCTCTTGGACGTTTATAACAGATAGATATTTACATTTTGATATTAAAAAAATATTTCGAAAGACTTATGAAGTTTGCCAACTTGTATATGGTCAGCGTGGTGGACTATGGCTTGATCCCCCTCGCATTCAAGGGAGGCCCGTGCCTAGCAGTGGGACGTTAAAAAGGGGCTGAATACAATTAAAAAAAATAAAAATATCTAAAAGTATTGACAAACAAAACTGGTATTTTAATTTAAAATATCATGTATAAATAAAATAAACATGTATGTATGTATATGTTGTATTATTTTCTTAAATTCTCTCCTTACAAACTCACTAAGCAGTTGTAATGGATAGTAAATATTTAAACGGCAACAATCGTGCGCACATTTTACGCTCATTGGTCAGTAAGATGACTCGAGAGATACTCGAGGATCAAGTTTTCTTCAGTATCAATATTAGTGTTTATTTATACACAAGTAGGATCAACAAATGTCTTATTCTAATGCCTATATAATGTAATAAATAGAAGAAATGCTTTTTTAATGACTACATATGAATTTGAAATAAAACACAAAAAAAATATACATATTTTGATAATTTTAGCTGTTTACCAAATAGTGAGGGAAAAATACTAGATATGGTGCTTTGTCAAAAACTATTTCAAATGAATGATTGAAGTTTGGTAACAAGTGATTTTGGTTTCGATATATCGATTTATTAGCAATTCAAATGGAAAATCTGTTTAAAATTAATATTTTATATATTTAATAATTAAAAAAAATATAATTAAGTTATTAGTATTTCATTTCATTTAAAGATTGTTAAGTCTTATGATTTGAAACGGCGGCCCTTTAATGTGCGTAATCCAAAAAGCTTAGTGGGAAATAAATGTCTGATAATCGCATAAATAGATACCTACTAATGGATATTGAAATACGATATTAATATGATCTAATCAGATTGTCGGCATTGGGTATTTAGATTCTCTATCCCATATAAATGTTACTAGCCCTAGGCAATTTTTTTATGCATTCTCTATGTACAACCATGATTTACGTAGAGACAAAGTAGCGAAAAGTCAGTTCAGTTTTTTTTCTAACGATGTATGTACATAAATATTTATGTTTTGGTAAAGAACTATACGCTTCTGCTATACACGTTAAACCTGGTTGCAATTAAATACTAAATCTTGGCACAAAAATGCCAAATTTACTGTTCCATATCTGTATAATTTATTTAAGTAATTTAAATCAAATTAATAATAATTGTGACACAAAAAGCTCTTAAAAGTTTTAAATTTTTAAATAAACTAAATATTTTCTAAGATATTTGTTTGATTCCAAATTCTATTTACATCTTGCTCTTGCTATAATTTACAAGGAAAATCTTATATGTATGTGTTCGTTAATATCCATCTGTCTTTATGACGTCATTAAGCCACGGTCACTATTCACGAAAAGCTTGTCAACTCATTTAAAAACTTGTGTTTTCCGTTATAATGTTTTTTAAGTGATTAACGATGTTTCCATTTTGTTTAATATTATGCGCCGCTCGTTTTTTGCATTTTTTTTCTTTTATAACTTACCTTTTTAAGACTTATAAAATATGTTTAAAATAAAAGGTACACAATAATTATGCAAATTTCTTTTTATCACCTTATAGTGTATCATTATTTTGGCCAACGTGCCAAAATTTGATCCTTATTAGCGATATTAATGGCTGGTGTAGTACAGGTGGTATTTTTTGTGCAAAACACCGAGTTCGATTTCCGACTATGAAAATTAAGTTGTATTATTATCAAAATCGGTCTGGTAATAATCTTGAAAAAATACTTACTTAAAAATTTACCTTATTAGCTTATTTAATATCATGTACATGTTAAAAAAAGAAAAATGTTTTCATCAAAAAGTAATAACTCAGTATGAGTTACTAGCACCTTACAAAGCCAACCACCAAAGCAAACATAAGATTGTAAAGATTTTAAAATATATTTTTTACAGAACGTAGCGGTAAAGCTTTATACATATTTACCATACAACTTCCTAACGCGTTAAATTTTTTCTAATATTTTAAAGCGGTCATAATTTTCTTTACGTTATCTTTATATTTACATTTAACATCAAAACTTATATCATTTTTTTGTTTATTATACAAAAAAGAGTATTAGAATTATATTAAGTACTTAACAGATACTGTGCTATTCTATGCTTCGTAAATTACTATTTAGGCAGATAAAATAAAACCAACATACAAACAATTCACATTGTTACAATTTAATAATTTATTTACAATAAAGAAAATTATAAATATACTTAATCATATATAAAAAACAAATGTTCACTTAGTTATTACTGTACAAGTCATGTCCGCGTGGAATAGTAGCAAGAATGCTAGCCGCATTCCCCCGTTGAATGGCAATGCCGATTCTTTGGGCGAAAAATGTGTCAGCCCTCCTGTCACCAGTAGAGGTGATAAGACGAGGGTTTTTTGTCTTTTAAGAAAAGCTTAGTTAGCACTTTGACTCCATAGGCCAACAGTTTCTACAGCAAAGTTTCTTTACAGTTATTACATCATAAAAAAACGTTATTTATTACATTTGAACACTAAATTGAAACGTGTGAGATGTTTCCACGGATCATTTGTGATTTAAAAATTACAAAAAGATCATGTAGAGACTAGACAGACACTAATAGATATCTCGATTGGCTATGACTGTGATATATTACGACGTGTAAATTCAAATTAACAAATATTTTTTCCGTTGGCGCACTAACAAATCACTGCACTAACCAGTAATTATAAGTAGGCACATTCGTTACGCTCATATATATGTGGGTCTGTACAAGCAAAAACATGTATTATTCTAACTGAATAAAAGCTATAATAGTTTGTTTAAATTGATTTTTATCTATTACCATGCCTTTCAACATTGACCACCTACAGACTTCACGATATAAATGAAATTTATTTACATCTAAGTTTAAGTGATATGTGGTAGTTATCGAGGAATTACTACTGTTATTACTTTTTAAATGATTCTAACTTGTATTATTATTGTAAACTGGTATTATAAGGTAATATAATACTAAATAAAACTATCTTTTCGGATTTTTTCGCGAATTTATTTTGATTTTTGGTTCCCGATGTTTCGAAAGCTTTACAGCAATCATAGTCACGGGAGAGACTGAGGTGTTAGATGTCTCAAAGCTATTATATAGTAGTTACAGACAGCCTACCCACAAATTAACAAAATTATTGCTGTACAGCATTCGAAACGTCGGGAATGAAAAATCCGAAAAGATAGTATTATTTAAAATGTTAAACATTCGCGTAAATCTAAGAAAGAATTAATATAATGCTTTTATACGTAGGACTAAATATTTTGAATGATGGAATTAAAAGAATACTGACTTCAAAGTAAATTACTTTTCCTCTCTAGCATTTTGTATGGCAGCCTTGATTTATGAACTGTTAAATAAATAAAAGAACAATGAGAAACGGTCCATAAATTGCGAATATATCGCGTAATACGAAGAAGACGTACACCTGCAATCAGTACCTGTTCCTTTTATAGTTGGTCAAAAAGGTAACTCAACACATTTGACGGTATTAAACTTAATTGAAACTAGCGACTCACCCTCGTTTCGCTCGGGTTTGTCCCTAGCTTGATTCCCAATACAAACTTTCATCTCCATCTTCACCCCCTTAAAGGTCTCTTACCAAACATCTGTATCGGTTCAGTAGATCCAGAGATTACCCCCTACAACGTCACAAACTCACAATCTCACAATACCTCTTTATAATATTAGTATCGATGAACGTGTATTACGTTCATTTCTGCTTCCCACTGTGCAAATAGTGGAACGATCTTCCTCCTGAGATTTTTCCTGAGCGCTATGATGTGAGGTTTTTAAGAGTCGAGTCTTTTAATGATGCAGATGTTTATAAGCGTCCATAACCTTTTACCATCTGGTGGACCGCCTACTTGTTAGCTTTTACTAGAATAAAAAAATTACCTAATTGAATTAACTTACATATAAAACATATCTTACTCGGTACAAAGCTACAATAAAATTTTCGATTGACATATTTTATACTCGCTAAATTCCACTAGTAGCCTAAATACTAAGATCGTATCGCATTATGTGTAGATGCTAGAGAATATTGCAGACACTTTGCGGATAATTTATGAGACAAATGAATAGAAGTCTCAAGCAAGACCGCATTCCCTAACGCCGTTTCCGTTGTAAGGTTCAACGATGTGTATATGTATGTACGTGTACGTATAATGTGCAGATATGTGCGTCTAAGGACCGTTTAAAATTGACCTCTTGGAAAATAAGGGGTAATTTTCTTGATTATATTGCATTTTTTACCATTTAAGTCCGTGTATGTGTAATTGAATTAGTTGTGTAATGTAGATAATTTATAGGAATCGTTTGTGTTAATATGAAAGCAGAGTACTGAGTAGTGTTACCAAAAAAAATCAATGTAAAAAATACGTAGCATTAAAGTTTAAAACTAAAAAAAACTCGGATTGGCCAAACAAATCTAAAAATGAACCTAAGCTCGAAAGTTTTATTAATAGCCATTGAAATGTTCCACTATCAACTTCCTTCATTCTCAATTTTCTTCATTGTTAATTTAAAGATGTTACTATATTGTTTTTTCATGCAGACTTTATATTTATAAAAAAATACAATTATCGCTACGATAATTAGAAGTAGGTTAAGATCAACAACAAGATTTGATTACATAATAAATTTAAAAATAAAACGGTTTTTATTGCTCTTTGTATATCCCAAATATTGCATTATTTCCGCATTTTTATTTACATATTTCTAATACTGCAGGTAACACAAAAAGACAGTACTATTGACTAATTTGATTTCATATTTAAAATAATCATGGAATTCTTAAAACCATCAATTTGTCGGAAATCTCCAAACAATTAACTCCTTTTTAGACTTCCGTACCCCAAGAGTGCCACCCAATCCCTATTACTATGCCTCCGCTGTCCGTCCGTCCGTCTGTCATAGGGCTGTATCTCATAAACCGTAATAGGTAGAGAGTTGAAATTTTCAGAGTATGTATTTCTATTGCCTAGCGGCAATTTGTTACAGCTAACAACAAACAATAAAAATAAATAAAAATAAAAATGCAAGAAATATTTTTTAACGTTCGTAATCGATCATCAAAAATACTATACTACATACATACATAGAGTAAAAGTCATATTAATAAAAAGTACACGTATGATGGTACTGAACCCTTCATGTACGAATTCGACTCGCACTTGACCGATTTTTTTAAATAAAATATGATTTATTGAGTTCAACTTTAACATAAGAGTTATTAATATTCCAGTCAAGCTTACTATCGTCGCTTAAATTCTTCTTTCTTTAGTTTTATGACGCAATAATGATATGTTGCATAATAAAATTAAAGTTAAATGAACTCACGTGCTATTTAGTGTATATCTTATAATGCCAGCTTTTAAGCTTCATCTGCGTCATACTAATTAAGATATGAATATCTCTATGCCATTCATATTCATATCTTTTGAATTCGATTAGTTTTGATGTGTTAAAAATAGTTAAACCAGTCAATTTACACGAAGAATTGATTTACTAAAATATAATCCTTCATGTAGTTTTATTACATATTTATTTATCAAAATCATTTTGCAATAAATCACTTCAGGTTTCTCACCGGTCTCATTTTAACAAAGTAAAGAGTGAGTTTTTCTCGTTCTGATAGCTACTCGCGTCCTCTATGGGTAGTGTGGAGTAACGGACGATATGCGAACCGCTCCTTCTTCGAATGTGCGAGCATTGTTTCTAAGAATCGCCACCCGCCATACCGCATAACGCAACACTCAAGGCCCATTTTCTACTAACCGCCCGGCATGGGGACCAATTCTGCATCCACTAACGCGTATTTCCTTCCCGATAACTATAAATTACGACTTTAAGTGCACTCTGCGAATCTGGTACTGTGACAATATAAATTCAACTTTATCTCTTTGGAAATAGAGTTTAGATAAGAAATATTCGATTTTAAACGTGAGATATCCTACGCAATTCTAAAAGAGAGGTAGCTATGGCGCGTGAGGATGAGAATCGCTTGCGCGTCGTCAGTGGCGTGCCTTGTGCCTCGATCCGCGTTCTATGTACGGCTTCAACTTTTTACGCCAGTTCATCCGGCTATAGGTCTAGCAATAACGAGGAATTAAACATTAAAACCTTCTTTGAAAATAGCACTTTGTATAGCAGCTTTAAATAGCTTTTATTTCGTCTAAAACTCCCTCTGATTTATGGTAATATAACAATGCAATGCAAGAGGAACTCCAGTGGAGAAGAGGTTATTGTGTTCATTTAATGCACCGCTTATAAATGATTTTAATATGTATCGATAGTACTAACATGCCATAATAACTTTCAGTGTCGCATATAAAGTTGCTTGACTATTACAAATTTGTTATTCTTGGAATGCCGCCCGGACTTTACTGCTGTTAGAAGATTGTGCAAATAATTCCATGGCTTATGATTTTATTATAATAGCAGTTTTACTATATTATATATATATATATATTTATACATATAATAAAATTCTAATTAGGTCAAATCTGTATATTAAATATTTTTTGGAAAATCTTATTGAAATAAACATTATTATCGATACAGAGGCCGAATCTATAGTTTTTATAATTTTTGTCTGTTTGCCTGTCTGTAACACACATCACAGAAAAACCACTAGAGAGATTTTGATGAAATTTGGTATGGTGATAGCTGGTTATTCGGGTCAACAAATAGGGTACTTTTTACCGCGGGAATATATCTCATTTCTGAGAAAAAATACAAAAACTGCATTGTAAGAGTATACTAATATGTAAAACCTAAGAATTTGGTTTTTGGTCATCTAAACACGGGCGGAGCTGTGGGCAATGCTAGTATTTTAAATAGTAATGTATTTAAATATTGAAAATATCTGCTTAGTCATTTATCAAACTTAATATAAAACTCCTTATTAGGTAGTTAAGTGCTAAAAATCATTTTTAGAACCATAATTTGTTAAATGTTTATTCTATCTATTTCAGATCTACACGGGCAGTTCTACGAGAACACGGTAGTAGTGCAATATGACAAGGACCTGTTAGAAGTATGGGATGAAGCGAAAAGACTGAGATGCGAGTGGTTCAACGATTACGAGAAGACTGCTTCAAAACCGCCTATGGTTATTGCTGATTTGGATGTAGTGCAATTAGATTTTAGAGGTATGTTTCTGAATTAACTTAGAATCATTATTTTTATTATAATACTTTATAATAAAAATTAAGGATAATTTTTTTTCGATAAAATAAACTTTCGCCCAATAAAAATTGCCATAAATATGTACATAAATCTACCATTCTAATTTTATTACTTTTTATGTAGGAAGAAAAATTTTTAAAATTTACCACACGTAAAGATTGCAGATTGCATGTATTTGATATGGTTGATGTGCTACAATTGACATGGAACATTTTTCGCTTTATTTAATTTTAAACGGATGATGACGTATTCTTGTGAGTTGTTATCATCAAAACCTGATTAACACTTGGAAATAAATCTAGATTCAGACTAATTAGACATATTTATTTTTTAGGAACTATAAAAACGTTGTAAATATTTTTATAAGTTAACAACAACATTTGAACAAGTTTAATTATAATTTAATTATAAAATTTCCACTTGATATAAATAAATATTATTATATTTGAGTTCTCATTATTTTTGAACAGCAACTTTTATAAGAAAATTCATATTTTATATAATACCGGTTCAAGTTCATTACTAATTACTTAAAAATATGCAATTAAATATATGAGTGGTTCATTATACGAGTAAATACGAAGTATCTGTGTTTTTTTATATGTCATACTATTGACTTACTCTAGCTCCGCTCGCGTTTTTACATCTAGGTACGTTTTAAAGGTTAGTGTAGATTCCTTGGAGATGAGATATTTTCCCGCAGTAAAAAGTATCCTATATGTTAACCTGGATAACCAGCTATCATAATACCAAATTTCATTAAAATCTGTTCAGTGGTTTTCTCATGATGTGTTCCCAGACAGAAAGACAGACAAAAATTCTTAAAACGATAGATTCGGCCTCTGCATCGATAATAATGACTATTTCAATAAGATTTTCCAAGAAATATTTCATGTACAGATTCGACTCAGAATTTTATTATATGTAAAGATTGAAATTGAAAAAATTGTATAAAAGGAAGTCAAAAAAGATGTTTCGGGATAAAAATAGTTGTTAAACCAACATCGGTCTTCGATACAGATTTATTTCTGTGGTCTCTCTCTGTCTATAATTTTTGTTTCTCTCGCATCGATTTAGAAATCATTTGAAGCTATTCCACCTCTAGGTAGGTGTGTAAGTGGAATATTTAGGGCGAAGTATAACCTTTTCATTAAAATAATATTCACATAATATTTCCTGTAAAGCATTCTTAATGTCGGGAACCAAAAATCAAAAATCCGCGAAATAAACTGAAAAGATAGTTTTATTAAAAACAATTTTCGTTAAAATAATGTCACAATTAACGAAGATATCGTGTAACATACACAACAAATATTTTCAACCATATATTTTTATATAATATTCATAACAATAGTCTGTGAGATAAAGTAATCTTTACGCTATAAGGTTATGTCTATAAAAAGTTATCAATTCCAAGAATTAAGGTATATTATAGTGTAGTTCACAAGTTAATAAATATATTGTATAATTAGTTCTTGTTACTGCAAATAAAACTATATGTAATGGTTTTTTGAATTTGTAAACGCTAGATGTGTTTAAAAATGCGTGAAAGTTTCAAACCCCGTACGTAAGCAATTGCAATAATTGTTAAGAATTAAAATAATTGCAAAAGTGGTTTACAATTAAAACACATGTCTTGTTTTTATGCAAATAATGCCAAGTTTTGTGTTAGAAATACCAAAATAATAAAGATTATTAAAATGAGAGAATTTTCAAAAAATATAAATCTTTATGTAATAACTAGCGAATCATCTTTGCTTCGCTTTGGGTTCGTCCCTAGAAAAAAAAAAGCAAATCCATCCCACGGGAATAATACATTCTTGCGGGATGATATATAGCCTAGAGCCTTTCTATTACAAAAAGAATATTTCATCTCTCCTGTGACCATATTTGCTGTAAAACAGTCATACCGTTGGAATCAAAAAAATAATATATAACCGCGAAAATGTGTTTTATTCTAAATATTATAATCCAATGAATGTTTTTAAACCAACAGGGGACAATGTGGACTGTTGGATGGAAATCCAAGCTGGCAAAGGACCGTGGGCACCTCCTGTGTCGGGCATTGTGCCTTTAGGATCTACATTGACCCTCGTCGTGGCTATCAACGATTATCGAGGTATGTATGGATAATGTTCATAAGTATTAAAAGAGGATTTGCTTATCGTGGCTTTTTACATTACGACATTTATAGCACACTATAATAATCCATATAGAAAATGACCGCCTTTGATCTTAACAGGAATCCCGCCAAATGTCAATTTGTCAAAAAAATTATATTATAATAATTATTGATATATAAAAACTGTAGATACATATTTCCTAACAAAAATCTCTTCAAAAAGTGGCTTCGACATGTGACGATAAGTCAAACCAAATAATAAAATTCAAAAATCCAAAATGAACAAAAGAGATTTGAAAAAAGCGCAATTCAATGTCGAATTGTGCCCTTCTTTTCAGGACACTTTTGAGATGTTAATTGTATATCTTGAGTTTTTGTATATCAATGACTATAATATAACAAATAACACTGTCTTTATTACCATTATATTAATTTTTTTTGTGACATTTTCTTTCCCATCAACCGTGAAGCCGTTTCCCGACTGTCATATAAAAATACATATAGCAGTTGGGAGCCTCTACCTCATACGCTTCGCACGATTGCTCTATCTAGATGCCTCCGTTAGACGACTAGACTGTGCTAATAGTTAAGTTTTCTAAAATATGCAGATTTCCTTATAAGGTTTTCCTTTACCGTAATAAAATGGTATTATAATATTGGAAATGATTCGCATATAAATATTAAATATGTTAGGGGTACGAAATCTGCTTCACTTGTTTAAGTGGGTACTTTACAAATTTCATATATTAGATTAGATTTTATCGGTCTAAGACAGTTAGTTGCTAGGAAATAAATATGGACAACCACAACGAATAGGAATAATGTAAAAAAAATATTTGGTACTTGTCATTTAGGTAATGTTTTTAGTCATTGATTTCTTCGATTCTCTATAAATTATATGGCTTTTATATGACACAAATAATTAATATTTTAATAGTAAAAAAAGATCTTTTAATTTGCATAAATTTTTATTTTAAATAATATTATAAATTCAAATGTGACAGAAATACTTGGTGAATCTCTCGGAACGGTATTGTGTACGTGTTCGACACGCTCTTGGCTATTTTTTTATTTATGATCAATAAATGATCAGACTAATTTCTACCTTACAATTTAATGTCTTTTTCTTTTATGATGTAGAAGTTCCAGTTAATTAAGTATAGCATCGTGCATAATATAATAGGCGAATAATAATATTACAAGTATAGCTTTGTGAGTTCATTTTTATTTCGGGAATACTCGTATGAGCCTAGCATAAATTTTTGATCTTTATTCAACATTAAAATTTGTCGAGTTTTAATTTAACTATTGACCGATAAATGAAATATAATATTTTTACAATAATTATAATTCAATCGTTTTAACTCGTTTTAACGTCCTTATGTTGGTCACAGAACTTCCTGTACAGTAACATACCATATTATGCCACAGTCCACTACGCGTTCCGCTAAATACATACGTGTTGGATGGGTTCACAATATGTCTTTCGAGCAAAAATAGATTCATAAAAGTGTTGACTCTATTTCTGCTGAATTTGGTTACAAATAGTTTATATTTTAAATATTACAGTGTATTTAATCAAATTTATATCGACAAATTAAAGAAAATTCTATTGAACTATTTCAAAAATACGTGTGTCGAACTAACCAATCAAGTTTCGATAACTATTCAGAACCTCCAATTAATAATTCGTTTTTGTTATATGTAATCATAATATGTCAGCCTATTTATTTATATACATAAAAAACTTATCTATACTAATATAATAGAGGTAAAGTTTGTGAATTGTGAATTTATGACGTTGTAGGGGGTAATCTCTGGATCTACTGAACCGATTTAGATGAAATTTGGTCAGAAGATAGTTTGAGACCCTGGGAAGGACATAAAATACTTTTTATCCTTGAAATCATCCCTTAAGGGGGTGAAAATGGGAATGAAAGTTTGTATTGAATTGGGGAATTAACCTCGCTAGTATTTTATGTAAAAACCTAAATGTAAAAAATATATTTTAATAACATATTATATTTTTACATGTTTTTTTAATTTAATTACATAGAAACCCCACAAGCTTATTTCGTTTTTGCCTTTTGGCTACTAAAGGATCATACTTCTAAACAATCAATCCAATTGCTACATCCGAATTTGATCGTTAACCAATCAAATGTACGAGTATGTAGTTAATTAAAAGCTTGTTGGGCAATAAAATCACTGCTCCATACCTATTTGTTTTATAGATTTTTAACGATTTGTTTCCATCTTACAAAACATTTGCATTTATTTAATTTTGTAACAAACGTAATATAAACAAATATCTTTTTATTATCTGTTTAACTATAAGCTAATTTTAGTTTTTTTTGCGCTTTTTAGTTTAAAGCTCAGTTTTTTAGGTAAACGTGTAATAAAAGCTATGAATATTTAAATAAATTAAGTTTTAAGTTAATTTTAATAATAATATTTTATATTACAAGTACAGCTTTGTGAGTTCATTTTCTTGCGTCCATCCATTGCTTTACTTTTGTACCCTGGTGGTTGTTTGTAATGGTTTTCTCGTCTGATATTGAAGATCAATCAGTCTGGAAGATAGTTTAGTACAAGAATTTTTTATATTGTAAAGTGTAATAATTAAATTAATTGAAAATGAGCAACAACCTTATAGCATATAAAAATTAAAAACATTTGTGCTATAAAAAATTTGAACAACTTCACTTAAAGTTTCTCGCAATGCTTTTTCTGAACGAACATAATAATTATTTAGTACCTAACACTACCTACATACGTGGTGCGTACTTTTATTTTCATCTTCCAATTCATTTTTATTATGAACTAAAACATCATCAATACACCGTTGATAGTTATTTTCAATAATAAACCAATATATAGATACTGTACAAATATGTAGACAAAAAGAACACATTGTATATCTTGATATACCGTTATTTGATAGAGTCAATAAAATGGAGATTTGGATGCGAAAAGTTAACTGTCTTATGAATTTGTATTGGATTTCTAAAATTTGTATGCTTATTTGAGGAAAGCATTACGTGTCATATCGCACAATATTTTAAATAATCTAAAATGAAAATATAACTTAACGTAATAAGTAGATGTAAATATACGTAATAGGCTTACTATCTAACCATTGTAAACATACCTACATCGTTTTTATTTTCCGATAATATATTATTTATCTTATACGTCCTACTGCTGGGCACGGGTCTCCCTGCAATACGAGGGGGATCAAGCCATAGTCCACCACGCTAGCCAAGTGTGGGTTGACGAACTTCACATGACTTTCGAAAACTTGGTAGGTTCTATCAGACATGCAGGTTTCCTCACGATTTTTTCCTTCACCGTAAAACAATATTGTAATCAAGTTGGAAAATGATTCGCACATTAAAATATCAGAAGTGCGAGACCCGGGTTTCCAACCCGCTTCACTCGGTTTCTCAAGCGAGCGCGTTACCACTGGGTTACCACTGCCATAGGTACCAATGTAATCGGTAAATTTAAGACGCAATGGTATGTTTGAAAATATTTCGCTTTTAAGGTTAAAGGCGTGTTGCATTTCAGTATCAATACTATTATTTTCTTTGCTTGTTCCTTTGAAATCGCTCAATCAGTGAAAGCGTGTCTGAACGTGAACAAATTTTAAAGTTTTGATTTTGCCAATCATAGTGATATGCAAAACACAATAAGATGAGATTTAAAGTACTCCATTGTAGGCGTAAAGACTATTGCTCCTATAATATACAAACTTAATTTGAATTTTATTAATACCTGTTTTATGACTTCTTCTTACTTGACCGATTGACCAAATTCATTTACCACTTGATTTATCGAGTGGGTAGATGTGATAAATTCTTTGGGTTTCCGAATAATTAAAAGACAAATGAAGTCACTAAATATTTTTTCTGTCAAATTGGCCGTCAGGTTTAATAATCTATATTCTATTCTAGTTTATAATTTATATTTATAGCTTGCAATAAATTTATTTTATGCGTGGGATATGTGAAAAAAATACACCAGTTTCTGTACCACACATTTTGAGCTAGGTTAATTATAAAAGAAAGATAATAAAATTTTATAATGTTTAACTCCCGTAATATATCGCTATTAAAATTAAAATTTTCCCAGAAATAGCAAGATATAAACACTCAAAAGTTACACGTTTTTGGATTTAGACTAAATAGATGATTTTGAACTTAATTCCAGTATATACTACACAGTATTTAAAATACGTAAAGTTGATGGCATAGAAGTCATAGCGACACCTCGTAAAACCGTCTCTAACAGGGTAATAATAGTGTGCAAACATACGCTAACGGTATTAAGAATGGTAAAAAGTAAACTGGACAAATACGTACGAATGAGTTTGCTTAACGGGCCGCATCTCGCTAGGGTTGTGACTTGTGTGTTGTGATAATTAATTATATTAATTAGTTATACTTCAAATGTGGCTAAGAAAAGAAAATCAGTTTTATCGTTGCTTAGGAAGTTCTATTATTTATGTATGTATATATGTATTTTATTAAATACATTGTCAAAATATCTATATATATATATATATATATATATATATATATATATATATATATATATATATATATATATATATATATAAAGCAAAGTCGGGTTTGTTACAACACTTATAACTCAAGATCGGCTGGACCGATTTTCATGGTTTTTGATTTGTTGGATTAACCTTCATCCCGAATAGCAGAATAACTATTAAACATCAAAAAAATTCAAAAAAATCTTTTTGGGAAAAAAATCTATTGCATACTAAAACATATTATGTACCTAGGGACGAACCAGTGCGAAGCGGGGGTGAGTCGCTCGAATTTGTATAAATATCAAAATATAATGGAATGCGTTTTGAAACTTAGTGAGTTTGTAGTGCGGACAAGAAGAGTTATCTCCTAAAATATTATACAAGATTGATATTTATTCAAAAACATAAATGTTACTTATTTATAAAAGCAGCGACACAGTAATGTTACATATCAACAAATCCTTCCGACTTCCATACATTATTGTAAAACTATAATTATTTAAGGATATTTTAGTAATAAAAATCGATTACAAACAAATTTTCGTCTGTTAATTCTACGGTATAATCGACTTTATGAAATCATAATTAGTTTCTACTTTCTGCTAATTACAGTGTTGCTTTAGTCACGTCTTTAGTTTTTAAACAAATCGATATGCTATGAAAATCGGGCAACCCTATGTCGGGATTGTAGAAGGACTGGAAACGCGGATCGCATCTAGCTCAAATCGAGTTTAAATCCAATATTTACAAGAAAGAAGTTTTATGATGGGACTGACATAATTAATAGGGCGTTGGCAATTGTTTTATTAACCTTGTATAGAATAAACGCGTTGAATGGTACTGAAGTCCACTTAGCTATTTAACAGACATGGCAATAACTAATTATACTGGACCTATGTTAATACTATTTAAAGCTTAACATAAGGAAAGAATTATATACTTATAATATTATGTTTTTTTAACATCACTAAGAATACAATTAATTTGAAATGGTTCATGTCATGAAGAAATTAGAAAATATCTATATTTCTATGAAATCATAGAGCTTACTTTAAAAACATGTAAGCGAGTGTTATCAGATGGCATTTTTCATCGTGAGAATACCGTTCATATGCGACCGTGTCATGGCGCCTGGTAGTGACTTAAGTCTTTTAAAGCACTGTAAGTAGTGTTATTTTTTAATTAGATTGTTATTTGATCTTTTTGTAACCACTTACTTATTATGTATATATATGTTTAACATATCGTGTGCTTTGTCAGACTCACTTTTACTTATAAAAGTTATGGGAACATTTGGTAGTTTATAAATATTTTACCGATAAGATTATTTAACCCACTTAGGAGCAGGTAATGAAGGTTTTTACATACTAAGTCCTCTTAATAGCTAGTTACTGTACAATATATATGAATGGAGGAGGTATCTTCTCATTTCTTCCGAAGGGATCTCTTCGGAACTCCCTCTGTCATATTACGCCGTAAAGTAGGGAACCTGCTGATTAAGTTGGTTTAGGTTAAGTACTATATCGAATTGCATATGCACCTAGGGCGAATGATACCTAATACATACATATTTTTTTGATTGTCTCATATGTATAGTGGTTAGCATATTTGTCGTGAGTTCAGGAAAACCTGGGTTCGAGTCTTGCTTCCAGCGAAGTATAGTTAGTATAGTCCTGACTCCGAGTGTTAAGTATAGTTATTGGTTTTTTCTAACAAAGAAATTCTCAATAGCAGCATGCAGTTAATTAGGTGATATTGTTATAACCTTCCGCTACGTAGAAAATGTAAAGTTTTCAGTCCAGTGCTTGGACTCTCGGCAGATTCATTTTATTGGACTCTGGTTCAGTGAATAGGCCGTTTTAAGCAAATTCATCTAGAAGGTCAATATTATAATAATAAAAACAAACATTTAATTATTAACATTCCGAGTATCCAAAATGGTACAAGCTTCTCACTATTCGATATCACAACAATGCAACGTGTAACCTCCTTTTAACTTATAATTAGTTACAATTACTATCAAGAATGAATCTCTTTGTTGTATCTCCATAAGTATTAATTGGAAAGCCAGTATTTATCAATAAGCAAGTCAGTTGTAAACGAACTTCATACACATTTATGGCATACATCGGTATAGATCACGAACACGGGTGATGTTGCTTCCCACACTTCAATTAAATGATCAATTTGATTGATCGAAAGCAAACTGAACGTGAGAAACATGATAAAGGCAAATTAAAATTAATTGTTTACTTACAACTCACTATGTAGTGAATGTACAATATTTTTAGAACACAAGTGAAATGAGTAAAATTTACATATTATAAGTTCTTAGAAAAATTGTATTCTATATGACCAACAATCTGATTGATTGATTTTTTATTAGTGGTTATAAAATTTTATTTCAATACAGCTTGAGTTTAAACTAGGTAATAATCAAATATTTTATACATTTTCTCAAAATAAAGTCTAGAAGTGAATATATTAACTTTTTATACATAATTTATGAAATATATATTAACTGCCTCGGTGGTGTAGTGGCTAGCATGTACGGCTGCACACTCGGAGATCCTGGGTTCGAGTCCAGGGTCGGGCCAAGTTTAGTTATTGAGTGTTTCTATATAGTAAGTCTCAGTAACAGCCCGGAGTTAGGAAGTTGGCGGTGTTTCACCCCCGTGCCTCGAAGAGCGCATAAAGCCGTCGGTCCTGCGCCTTAACTCTCACTGGTCGTGTCGAGCAGTCGTCCCACCGGTGTATGAGAGTGACAGGAATAGGCAGTGCACTTGTGTTTGCGCGTACACTTGTGCACTATAATATCTCCTGCGCAGTTGGCTAGTCTCAATGAGATTGGCGGCCGTAGCCGGAATCGGCTAGGAGAACATCATATATATATATATATATATATATATATATATATATATATATGACCCACCCTATTGTATATATATATATATATATATATATATGTATATACATATACAACCACAATACCTTCCGCTTCCTTCCACATCTTTCCGAGTAAATTTATACAGCTCCTAGTTAAACAGAATATTATTTGCTTATGCACTTCCTTCACGATGTCTGCGGTTTATGCGTTTTCTTTTAATTACATTTCACTTAACGCTCAACTGAGTAGGCAGCGTTTTAGTGCACTTTGCGTTATGCCCATTAAAACCCGCGCGCTTGTGGTAACATTGTACGTGACTCAAACCTAAACACTGTTTTACCGCAATTCACATTTTTACTAGAAACTTTCATATTTAATTTTGTACTAGATTTTGAATATACAAATTTTTCCCTCATAAAAAATAAAAATTCACTACATTTAAAACTATAATTTTTAAAGCTATTTGTACATAACTTATGTAACATAAGAGACATTAGTATTATAATTTAATTAAATCCTTATGTGTATTTTTCAGGCGAGTTCGACATGCGGGTAAAGTCCTGCGCTGCATCAGACGGCTCCGGGCATGTAATACAGCTATCAGATGAATACGGTTGTGTGTTACGCCCTAAGATGATTTCAAGGTTAATATTATATTGAAATTTATTATAGATTGAAAGTGCACATTTTTTACTTTAGTAAATATGTTGCCATCTCATGAAAATTAATTGCATCTAAATTTCATCCAATAAAATTTATTGGTCTACTCAGTAACTAACTCAGAAATTGACAAAATAGAGTGGGAGAAAAGTTTATGATTTTATATTAATGTACAAATATTTTTTATACAGTTAAATATGTAAATAAAATTTAATAAAAGATATGTAAACTCAAATATAGATCTATATGAAATTACAAAATATTTCTAATATTTAAACTAACAAGACAAACTTCGCATTTCAGATTCCTCAAAGCAAAAGCAGTGGACGAGAGGGCAACAGTGATAACATACGCTTTCTTCCATGCATTCAAGTTCCCTGACGCTCTCAGCGTACACATACGGTGTAAAGTGGAGATTTGTAGGCACGGGTGTCTAGACCATTGCCAACTAGCAGGGATTACTCCACAAAGACACGCATTAGATAGAAAAGATGATAGGACTCATCAAGACCATAATGATATTGGGTGAGTTCATCCTTCATCATTTCACGTAACTCTTGATGAATATTTGAATTAGATATTTTTTTGCTCGTATGTTTTATGATAAAATATGACTATGTTTGACTATTTGTGATTATCATTGTAATTTATAGAACTTTCTCGTTGATCTAGCGGCTAGAAGGTTCAGCTGTAGATCCTGTGGGATAAAGTCCCGAGACGGACCAACTGTAGCAGCAAGATTCTCTATATCTCAAACATTCTAAACATATAAAACAATGATTCATGGAACATAATCTATACTAATATTATAAAGAGGCAGAGTTTGTTCGTTTGAACGCGCTAATCTCAGGAACTACTAATCCGATTTGAATTTTTTTTTGCTTTAGATAGCTGGTTTATTGAGGAAGGCTATATGCTATATATCATCTCGAAAATGTACGGTTCCCGTGGGATAGATTTGTTTTGGTCATTATCTAACATATAACTCTTCAATTTCAGCGACGCGTCCTTAGAGGATTCCGATCACTCTATACCAGAAAGCGAAGAACAAAGACTGCCACTAGAAGAGGCATTCGGCGACGTGTCGGGGCACGCGGTGCCGCCACCTGCGCCTCAAAGATCTGCTATGGAGGAGTTGGTTGATGCTCTCTCCAGGCCTTTCACTGTGAGTACTAAGAACACTAATAGTTAATACCCTACCTTATGTACATAGTATAAACTGGCGACTCTACGTTTTAACGTTTAGTATAGATTTCTCAGACATGAGACATTTTCCCGTAGTAGAAAGCATGCTACAGGTATATGTTGACCCGGATAACCTCATCATACTAAATTTCATCAAAATCTCTCCAGTGGTTTCTCGTGATGCGTCCCCAGACAGACAGACAGACAAAATCCTAATTACTATAGATTCGGCCTCATGACTATTTTAATAAGATTTTTCAAAAAAATATTTAATGTACAAATTCGATTTAGAATTTTATTATATGTGTACATTACATAGTATTTGTTTGGGCTAATTTCAGAAACTATTGTATGGACTTTCATATGGTTTTCACTAATAGAAAGAGGCATTATGTAGTAGGTAATGTTGGCTGTAATTTGTAAACATTTGACGAAAATGCTATCAGTATGATGATTTTTGTGAATAAAGCGGCAGATATCGTCCTCTTTTAGAGTAATCGTAAAATTAAATATGTAAAGGGCAGGGAACACTACTTCTCAGTTTGTTTTCAAAAGTTTTTACGGTGTCAAATCAACAATGCAAGCTATAAAAGCCATGGTAATGGCAAAAAAAGCTTTTGTATTGCTTAGTAGAGTTTTAATCTCCGACACAAAAGAGGAATGTTAAACGGATGGACCTATTTCGAATCAGTTTTTTTGTATTCGATAGCTAATTTTACGAGTTTTTAAATTTTACTTATCTTATTTATACTTTTTTTTAATTCATGTTGTGTAACATCCATGACAAATCGATACATACAACAGCATTTTATGACATTTAATTCATGTTTGAAAAACTATTAAAAACATATAATTATGTACAATGAAGATATTAGTCCATACGGTGAAGATAGCGTTTTTGAATTTTAGCATACAATCGAATTTGTCATATATCTTTTATTTGTTTACAAGAGTCATATTTTTGAGTTCTAAATATATTTTTTATGGTTCCACCGTAAAAGACCCATTTCGTTCCATTCGTTATACGGCTTTGTTACTTACATTTTATTGAAATTAACATAGCGAGGACTTATTATTTACAGTATTAACAAACTTATTTACATTTTCTTTAGATTTAGATATATTACTACTCAATTAAGCAGTATCATAATTCACCAAACACAATAATCTTTTCAGGATCATTCATCAGACATAGACCGCGAACGCTTCCCTCACGGTCCACGTAACCTTGGACCAATCAAACCTGAGCCGGCCCACGCAGTACTTCCCTCTAAGCCCGGTCCAGCAGTCGCTGGTCCACGGTCTCTAAGAAAACGTAGGACCATTAGAGATGCAAGGTCGGCTGATGTGGGTGTGTCGGGGATATACGATGTGGTGTCTGAAGCCGATTTAGCGTTTGGACCTTCCAGAGAGCCGGTGACGGTGTTCAGTGGACGAATACGGGAAGAGGTGAGTTTTGTTTTCTGTAAAGAGAATTGTTCTGGACTCTTAAAGTTTGTTGATTATTTTAATAAATGTCTATTTATTTATTTTTCACAACTATTTAACTATTTTTAAAGTTATTTATAAATCATTTATAAAACTGATTACACCAGCACGCGATACTGAAATCAAAGTCAGAGTAGTTTTATTATTAAGTAAAAGAGAAAAAAAAATCGAAATAATTCTAGCTTCTGAAGTTGCTAAAAACAATTTTAATTTTAGTTCTTGCCCGCGTAGCCTATATCATTCTCCAGCCCTCCAACTATTTCTACGCAAAAAATCACGCTAATCCGTTTCGACGTGAAAGAAGGACAAACAAACAAACAAACACACTTTCACATTTATAATATTAAGTATGGATATTTATTTATTTCCATCACCAACCGGTAGTGTACGGTATATGCATGGGCGCGCTCAGCTTTGGCGCGCTGTTCGCGTCGGCGGCGGGCGCGGCCGCGGGCGCCGCGCTCGCCGCCGCGCTGCTGCTGCAGAAGCTGCGGGCGCGCGCGCCGCCGCCGCCCGCGCCCGCGCCCGCCGCGCACTCCCTCGCCGCATGGATGGCGCTACGGCTGTTGGGCTCGCCTCCACACCATTCTAGGGAGTGAGGTTGGTACTCATGATGTCTCTCATCTTAGGTTTTTCCATTGGCTGATAGTTTGCTCAAAATTAAAACATTTTTTTTGTGACCATTTATGTTTGTACCCACAAAACTTACATGTTAACGATGTCATCTATAAATAATAATAATTAATGACTACAATAATTAAATCGTCAATTTAAATATGAAATTATGTAAATTTCATGTAAGGATCCATTATCTACTATTATAATTTAATTTCAATTATCAAAGCCCTATGCAACAAAAGTTTTGGCTGATTTAGCTGTAGAGTCAAGTCCAGATATCAACCAATAAAATACAACTACCGACTGTCAAACCAGTATATATGGTAGTCCATGAAACCCAGCCGGACTAAACTATCAACCAATTTAGTCTACATTTGTAAAGGACTCTCAACATCACAAGTCCACTCTTCCTTACATCATCCTCTGCTCCTTATATCTTCTCTTAACTCTTATTGCATTGTAAACTTTACTGAAATTCTAAGAGGTCAAATTTTATTTCTCCATATTTGTCTGCAAATTGTATTAAATTACGATAATACTAAGTGTAACATGATCTCTTAAGTGTTATATGATATTTTAGAGGTCATTTAGCAGACTAGTTTTAGTCTACGGCTCCATTCGCGTGAAAGATACATTTATAAAAATATATACATAGGGGTTATGTATTAATTCACAATATAAGCTATCTCTATTCTAAATTACACTAAAATTTAAAAACCCGTTATTATCTACAGTAACAACAAACATACTCACTGACAAATATTTGCATTAATATTAGTATGATAAAAGGAAAGTAATTGTACCATGTGGTACAAGATTTTCAGTATCGTATATGAACATTTGACCTCTTCTTATTTCATGTTTTAGTTAGTTCGATTTCAATGTTTGTAAATTAGGTTGTATTTTGTACAGTCCAGTTTAGTAAGGAATTTAAAATTAGTTATTTTTGAATATAAAATTATATTATATATTTGTATTATTTTAACATTATAATTTAAATAATTTGTACATTACATTACATAATTCTTTAACAATTTGTTTATTATATTTTAATCTAAATTCTTTGTTTACATTAAATTATTATGTAATTACCGTAATGAATAAATTGTCGCTACTTTTATTTAATCATTCAATATTACTTGTAATATTTTTTTTTATTATTATCTGTATATCATTCAATCAAATAGTAGATAAATTGAATTTTCATATACATACATATATAGCATTTAAATTTATATAATAATATAAATATTTTCTGCCTCGAAACAACCGATGGTGCTAAGTCGTGCTACGCGTTATATATAACCTGATTCGCTTCACTGTTGTGAACTTAATTAAGTTTTGTACAGATATATTTTCATATTTTGTACTTTATATCATATTTTCAATAATTAGAATAAGATAACGTCGAGTCATGCCATTAGGTTAAGCTTAGATTATTTTTCGGTAGTTCAATTTTCGATATGTTAAATTAACATTGGATTAACATTTGATATAAATTTTTATATTGACTCAATAACATTCTAATTAAAACGAACAAAACAGTTAATTCTAATTAAATTCTCATATAAATCATCTCATATAATTTGAACGTCACCAATATAGTGACTAATTAAGACCGTAGTGCATTTGTATATTTTAGTTTAGTTTAGTTTGAGATGTTATTGTTACATAAACATAAAACACCAATGAATACAATAATATAATTATTAGAATCATTTCATAATACGATTGCATTTATTCTGTATTTAGATACGTGTCTATCGTCTTTATTTTATTGCTCAATAATTAACTTTAAAACTTAATATTTTTATTATTCTATTTTAGATAATTATTTGTAATGTGTATAAGTAGAATTTATAAGTAATTTAGTTTACATTATCAAATTAATTATCATAATTGGATTTACAGACCGATGTTATTATGAATCATTTGATTGAATTTTCTTCTGAATATGATTCTTAAAATACTCGATATTTGAAATTTCATCACTTATTTAAATAAGTACATGAATCATGGTTGAAAACAAATATAAATTTCAATTACGATTCATAATTCTTTCGCAATTTATCGGTCTCTAAATCCTTAGTAAAAATGATGATAATCAATTATCATATCATGCCACCCAAAAATCTTGCATTTATTTTAACTATTATTCATAAGTTACACAAAATTTTGTGTGAACACGATTTATCTAAGTGCAATTTTTACAATTATTTACAATTAATGTCGATTAGAACTGTAATCACTTTTTATCTTCCTTATGGTTTTGGTATTCTGTCTGCTAAACTTCATTTATTCTTACACGTATGGGAAGTTAAGTTAATATTTATTGTAAACAATTTGTTCATATTTAAGTTTCTGTATGAATGTGTCGGACGGTGTTAATGAACGCACTTGTTATTTTTAATGAAATAAAAGTTATGTTGAAAATTTAAATTGAGTTTTTATTATTATATGCTACACGATTATCGGCCCTACCGACCCGCCTTATAACACATGCCTCATCCCATACAAAAAATTGGATAGCGCCAATTCGGGCTATTTTAGTTTGCTCGAATAGATAACAGATGTCGTTGATTCGCACATAGTTAAACTATTTTATTTTATAAATATGTGCATACTAACATATGTTAAATATTGTAAAATTCATCCTATCATCAAAATATGTAATTTCAACAATTATTATCGTGATAAACAATTCATAAAAAGTAAAAGCATCTGTGAACATAAACTACAAATCTATCATCTGATTGCTGATATTTTAATAATCAGCAGAATTACGCAAATTTGATTTGCACGCACATTATTTCCTTGCCCTTCATTTAAAATATTTTCATAAAACAATAATTCACCTTTTTAGGATGTACCTATTCTTATTTTTTTTTAATTTAGTACAACTTTAATAACAAATCGATATATGTAACGTCATCTATTGACTTTTATTTGAACTAATTTTTCTTTGTTTGTGACGAGACCCCGTGCGTTTCGATGCTCACATCATGAAATGATGTATCATATTAATCTCCTATTATATAAAAATAAAATACTGCTCGTTGAAAAGCGAATCACTTGCGAATTGTTGTACATATGGTAGAACAATTCGCCTGCCTAATTTTCTTTTTAGGAAAAAAATTAAGAAGACGCCCGGAAAATATAGGGGAAAAGCAGAAAGTTCCTTGCTTATAGAATTCTTGTAGACGTCAAAGATCATATAAATCTATTGAAATTGGAACAGGACAACTTCTGTCGGGTCACCTAGTAGTATATATGTATTTTCATTTAAAAATATGAAACCAAGCGTACTATCAGCCATCTGGAGGTATTTACCATATGATCAGCTATATAAATGTAGATACCTACACTATGTTGTTTATATAGGGAAATAATTTTTACACATAAAAAAAGTTTGTAAGAATTGTATGGTTGATGAATGTGTCATTTTGAGGGGTTTTCATCAACTATCTTCATAATGTTGTGTCTCAGAAAATATTTATTTTAAATGTATAGTTGATTAAAAAATTAAAACTAAAACTATTGTTTATGTTTCTATATACTACAGAATTAGATGTAACTACTAAATAATAGCTATTTTCTACGAAATGTTATACCTAGTACCTATACTTATTGAGCATGCGCTTGCCACGTAATTGGCTAGTGACGTTTTTAGTCGATATTCACGATGTCCTTGATCTTTACGCTATCGAGATGACACTTGGAACCTCTCGCGCTATGCTATGGTAACAATGACAAAAGCCACTTAAAAAATTTAATCTCTGTTCGTGGCGTCTTTTGAAAATCGATAAAAAAAATTAAAGCAGATTCTATACAGATATGTTAATTTTTATAAACGATACCATTGGTCCTTGCATACACAAAGGAAAGCTAGAAGTCTTACTATTTATACCCTTTATAAGATTGAAAAATTATAACAAGAATCGTTTAACGAGTATCGTATTCACAAAGGAACACGACAGCTGTATATTAATATTATAAGTTAAATAAAATATTATTATTGTTCAATGTTGTTTTTATTATACCTCTATTGTCTACGTAAATAAGTACTTAGATATAAGCAAAAACATTTTTAACCAAAAAAAAAATTTTGCATGTAAACTTTAGCAGTCATCATTTGATCATAATTGTATTTTTTTATGCCATGTCAATGCTTTAAGGAAAAAAATTGTCTAACAAAAATGAACTTCTTGTACTTTTTACATAAGTCCAAGTTTTTTACGTACAACTTTTTACTACAAGTTGGTGTTAACCGATTCCAGGCAAACAGACAAATCAGCTTGTGATATATACATATCTAAATACGATTAACTTTGCGAAAACTATCACGCATATAAGGACACAAGGTAGTTCCTTGTTATTGAAGAGACTAGTGTTTTTGCTGTTAATGTTTTGAAGTGATCGATAATTTATTAACCAAAAAACTTAATGACTTCAAAATAACCTTAAAGCTAACTGGGTTAGTTTCACATGTCCCGGTCTGTGTAATAGAATCTTGCAAGTAAAATTTGACCCTCTTCCCAGTATCTGATTGAGTTAAAATTAGGCACACTATGTTTACCTGGGTAGATAAACAAGAACATATTATTTAAAATAAGTATATCTCGCGACAAGCTTTTGTATCATACTAGCACTGCCCGCGGCTCCGCCCGCGTTCAGATGACCAATAAAAAAATTCTTAAGTTTTACATATTAGTTTACTCTTACATTGCAGTTTTTGTATGTTTTCTTATAAATGAGATATTTTTCCGCAATAAAAACTATCCTATATGTTGACCCGGATAACCAGCTACCATCATATCAAATTTCATCAAAATCCCTCTAGTGGTTTTTCCGTGATGCGGTAACAGACAGACAGACAGCCAGACAGACAAAAATTCTAAAAACTATAGATTCGGCCTCTGTATCGATAATAATGTCTATTTCAATAAGATTTTCCAAAAAATATTCGATGCACAGATTCGGATTAGTTACGATTTTATTATATGTATAGATAAATTGTGTAATGTAATAAATTGATGGGTTTGATTTGATTTAAAGTTTATTATCTTCTTTTCTTAAAAATAAGTTTTTAAATAAAAACTTTTTTCTTAAATATTTTTTATTATTATTATTGTTTTAAAAATAATTATTTATCTACTACAACCAGTGGATGACTGGTTCAAAATTAAAGAGATTCCTTACGCTGTAATGAAGTCGGCATATGAAAGCACAGATGCTTGTATCTATCTATGTACGTTGTGCGTATGTTCTTATAAATACATACTAAGAGATGTACGAGTACGAATGTTGGCCATAGGATCTATACCTACTTATATTTTGTCAAATAGGATTGTCAAAATGAAATATACACATACACTTATATTGTTTAGATATATTCAATGCTACATTTGTTCATGATGTTGTACATTATTCAATAAAATTAGTCAAGATTTTTTGTAATATAATTTCCAAACTGTCAATAAAGCTTAAACACAATTCACAATATTTCATAGAATCTTCATATAAAATAAAACAAGAAATCACAACAAAACATTAAAAAGAAGAAGAGGTACTCAGGTGGTAAAGTAAATAATAAATAATAGCTAGTAAGTAAGGTAATGACTATTACAAAAACTTAACTAAAATAAATAATATTAATACTAATGACAAGTTACTTTAAATTATTTCTAGCGGTTTACCTAAGTGATGTTATACCACGTATCATTAAGATTTTCCGTTGCCCCTATATCAAACACGGTTTGACAAGAGGTAACAGAAGATTGTACTTATGACATTTAATACTACATTTGGGTTGATCAAAAATATTTCATCTTAAATTTTTCCTTCGTCCCACAAAACGTTTTTGTGAACTAAAACATACATACGTCAACTGAAGCTTCGCGATAGCTCGTTCATGTTACTCTTACATTAGTATTTTCCTTTAAGTATTTTTTTTTATTTATGTTTCAATTCATAATTATAACTAAAGGATTTCGAATTTGTATCTAAATTATTTGAGCACATTTCATAATGTATTGGCATGGTCATACTTCAGTTACATTACACTAATATGTACAAATTAAATTAAAAGGTTATTACTTGTTACGAGTAAAATCGACTTTTTGAAATAATATGCGGTCCTGAAGGCGGATGTGGTCGCGGTATCGTGCTAATTGCAGCGGTTTTCTTCTTTAGCTTTGAGATTGGTCGAAGCTTCAAAAATAGAACTGCTGATAAAGCGCATGAGCATATTAAAGTGGCAAGGAGAGCACCAAGTGTTGCAGCAAATCCTGGAGTGGTCATACAAACCAATCCAGGTGTAGGTAAAATTTTAGGCGCTATGTTTTCTTCTGTAGAATCTAAATTTAAATCTCCAGCGGAAACCACACGAATTACTCTGTTAACTCCAACCTCTTTCTCTGGCGATGTGGATCGTTGCCTCCTGACTCTTCGCTCATCCCTTCTAATTTCGACACTGACTGGATATGAATCTATTTGCGGAGGTCCATATTCAGCGTGAGGTGCTATAACATTAGGGTTTCCGTCAGAGCATTGTTCTGGGCAATGATATCTGCAAATCTGAATTGTACATTGGAAGTGAACCTCCATAGAATCTGGGAATTTGAATGCTTGGAAGTGGGCATATGAAAGCACGGATGCACTTGCTCCGAAGTTCTTTATTTTTGTAAATCTCGACATAAGTTTTGGTCTTGTTACACAGCCTCGCCTATCGACTAATTGTATAGGAGCGCGTTGACCATCATGAGCTACACAATCACGTACTAACATATCAAACTTCGCGTCATCGTCCTTAATTGCAAGTACCATTGTCATTGTTTGTCCGATCTTTACAAGTCCAGATACTTCAGAAGCCCATGGTCCTTTACCAACTTGAATCTGCATCCAGCAGCCGACATTATCTCCGGCAAAGTCAGCTCTGACTACGTCTAGCATGTCTACGGGGAACGGACGGAATGTAACAGCCTTTTCATATTGGTCATGCCAAGTACAACGAAGTTTACGCGCTTGATCCCATACTTCTTGTACTTGTGGATCATACTGAATAACTATTACATTTTCAAAATATGTACCCGCTGCAGCTGCATCTCCTCTATATCTCGGATCTCCGCTGCCAGCTGTACCGCATGCATGTGCACCAATTTCAAATGATGCCGATGTTCTACCTAGATTAGGAGGCAAATGTACGCACTGATGATTTGAATAATGTCCTTTAGAGAAAACTATTCCAAAGAATGGTTTATCAAAGCTTAGAAATACTCTCATAGCATTCTTTTCACATTTTACATCGAGTGATAAAATTTTTGGCATATCAGGGGCGGGTGCTGGCCAGACATCTCCACTTGTACTAAAAACCTTTTCACTGGCTGAAGTTTGAGCATCTGCTGGAGGAGCTGGCGGAGGTGGAGGGCCTCGGAAACCTGAGTTGATATCATTTTTATGATGACCGGGCGGACCAAGTGCAAAAGGCTTTGAGTGGATTTGATGATGATTTGTGATCCTGGGCATACCTGGAAAGTACAAATAAACGCCTTATAAGTATAAGTAGAAAATAAACATAATTCAATAAAAAAAATTTTAATAAGCAAACGGCAAGTATTGTTCAAAATTATCATTTTAAATCAAGATTATTTTCAATTATAGTAAAGTACCCTTGTTTCACTCAGAAATATTACAAGTAATATAAATTATCATAAATATAAAATTACCTATAGGGTGGTGTGGCTGATGATGAGGAGGATTCTGTCGTCTATTATGAGGCGGTGGTACAGGCGGGGGTGGACCATTGTAAGCGTGACTGGGTGTTTCCCTTTCCGACGACTCCATGGCTAGTTGGTCGCTGGAGGGTTCTGCTGCATTACTCGAATCAGAGTTAGGCGCCCCGCCTCCGCTACTACTTTCATTCGATGTCTGGTCACTCAGTGTTCCACTCTGGAATACATTAAATAATATGTTAATATAATATATAATGTTATGTATATTATATAAATATGTTAACATATAGTATATACTCGTAGTGTAGTAGTAATATGTATTCCCAATTTAATTGCCAGTGCTTTTCATTGGCACTGGACACTGTTGTTAGTCTACTGGTTTTAATTATGCATACATAAAAAGTTATTATAAAGCTTCGATTTCAGAAAACTAAATAATATCCAATTTTACTAATATTATGGCTATAATAGAATGCTTATCTTAAGGTTTATTATAATACATTTAAAACTAATTCAACGTCAACGTTCTATGTTAATGCCATAAAAACAATGAAGAAAATAATAAACTATCTTATTAAACTCGTTTAATATTCTGACATGGAAATTATATATTTTTTGTAGCACTTCCAACTTTCACTAGTACGCGTGGGCAATATTTTAAGTGTTATTTAATTCGACACACTGACCGTCTTAAATATTTGTTAAAACCAGCATCATGTCATGTTATGCGACAACTACTAAACTCATGTTCTGAGATGAACAAAATGTGACTGGATGATTCTCGGATTCTAATTTCCTTGGCATGAATAGAATCATCATGTGAAAGTTGCCTGCTTCTGGTTCACATTTGATTTAAATCATCGTTCAATTGACCGCGCTGCTCTCAGAATATACATTAAACTAGTTCCGGCAACTTTACCATTAATTATTCTCGTTTTCTGTCGAGTTGTCATATTTGGGCGGAGATATTGGGTGGTCGAAAAAAACTAAAGGAACCTTTTATAGAACCGATGGCCATTTATTAATCAAGAATTTATTACTGACTATCACTGAACCTAGAATTATCGAATCGTCAATGCTTTTATGGCTCTCATTTGTTTCGCCTCGGGCTCCGAAATTAGAAAGTATTGGTTCTGACCTAAGCAAGAAGTATAGGGGCTTTTTATTTCGTCAATAAAGATTTATAAGAGAGTGTAAAGCTCCATCCTCCAGGCGAACGGTTGAATCCAGCAATTATTTAAGATTGGAATCTGGATGGGCAACATGACTCAACTGTTTCTACGCGTATTAAAGTTACGTAACATCAGATTTAAAAGAGAAAGTCGTAACGAAAAAGAAATTACACTATTCAACCGAACAGTCATTATAAATAAATGATTCAGTGTCTGGATCGTCATGTAACATTGATAAGATTGTTTCATCTACTGTCATTTGTATTTCTGATGGGATATTATTATAGTTGTGTGTAAAAATCTTATATAATGTGTTTATGAAATAAAATTTTTATTTATAAATATTTTGTACTGTACTTTTAATATTAAGTTGCGTTATAATTATTACGAAAGATTATACCAGTAGAGCTAAAAAAAAATATTTGGTATCCCTTTCCATTTTATTTTCGGGTATATTTATATTATGTTGATATTTAGTCAGTTAAAAGTCTTTCCTTGTATGATATCTTTATTTGACTTTCTGTTAGTTAATATAATGGGATCAACTGCAAAATAGTTACGGCGATATTAGAAAATGATTCATGTACAATACAATAAACGATAAAAATAGAACTGCCGAAATACTACTAAAATAAATTCAAAAAATTATTGTGTTTGTGACATTGTGTTGTTATAAATATAAATAAATAAATATCTTGAGACATTAACACACATCACCATCTAGTTACATGGTAAGCTATGAGGCTTGTGTTTATGGATATTAGATAGTTGATACACTACGTATAAATAACTTTAAATACATATGTATCTTATAAATATTAACACGTATGACTGGAATACAAACATTCGTGCTCATATCACAAATGTATCCCCCCCCCGCGGGACTCGAACCCACGACCGCTGGCACAGCAAGTAGGATCACTACAAACTGCGCCAAACATATTGTCACATAGTGTTTAGGTGTGTAAGACCTACATACGAGTAACAACACAATGTTTATTACTCTTCTACAATTATTGTTCATACTAAAATGAATTTTAGTTAACAGAAGGACGAGGACCTGGAGTAGCACATAAACTACTAATAGGTACCTAGTATAGAATATTTAAATATTTTAATATATCTACGGTAGCTTATTGGATAGAAAAATGATTATATATCCAAAGATTAATAAGAAAATAACCTTAATAAGGCCAGTTTGATGGTAGAGTAAGGAAGTGTGTCAGCAGAATTCAAAGATGTTGCATAGTACACTCATCAAGTGCTCTCTTAATCATACAGTCCGTCAATCAATGAGAAAAGTTTCTACGTTTTAGAATTTTCTTCAGTTTCCGCTATCTTTACTCATGTATGCATATAGCCCGTTAACGGAGTCTGTGTCTACAGATAACTGTTAAGCTTTCCATTATATGATAAATTCTTCATTAGAATTCTTGAAATATTTTAAATTATAACGTTTGAAAGCGTTGATTTGAACATCACTTTATTATAAAATATTAATAAAATATATTATAAAACTGGTTTTAAACCGCACATAATACAAATCATATAGCTTTTAGAAGTCATATTAGATACAAACCATATAAGCATTGAGAAGCCACAATAACCCCATTAAAAATTACGAAATTTCGAACTATTGTATGTTACTATACACAACACTCCAAAAAATATATATGTAAACCTTTCTTTAATATACAAAATCCATATGAAAAACATCTATATATGTATATACTTAGTTCCAAAGAGAGTAACTGGTAAGATCCGCGTACTGACGGGGAGCGGCCGTCAAGTGCAGTGTGTCACCGCGCGGTCGTTGATCTCAGCGGACTAATTTTACTTTCATTAAATCGCGATTGCGTAGCTAATTCGTGACTTTCAGACGTTTCAGTTGCATACAAATAAATAAATGGGGGTATTTTAATACCCTTTTCACGCGTAATGAATTTATTTTAATATTTAATGTTTAAGATAGATTATGAGCCGTTGAACGGACCACTTAGTCAGTCTTGCTTCTTTGGGAGCATCCGAAGGTGCCTTTTGTATTTATAATATTAAATGTTATTTCTAACAATAGCCTGTGTATTATTTTATATCATAATATTAATTATATGTATTTGTGCACTAAGTTTCTTCCAAAACTGTTCAGATATATCGAGCAAAGACACACGCACATACATACAAACGTATTGAAAAAATAATAGTATGTATGACAAACTGCTTAAAATTACTACATACTGATTTAAGTACAGTAGTTTCACTTTGCGTGATGGTTAAATATGTTTAAAGAAACAGGGCAAAGAAACCTATAGTAGTACAATACCTAGAATGACGAGCAGGATTTCAAGTTCAATGTGTGTCGTTACTGTAGGTCGCGGTGTGACCGACCGGCGCGAAAGCTGGCTTTTACTCTTACACTACCCATCTATTGTCATAAATTGGCATTGCCTTAGCTTACTTTACGTAAGTATGTTTTTCGGAAGCAAAAATAAATATGTAAACGTAGAAAATAATTATATGGATATTCTCTTTAAAACTTGCCATAACCGCCATGTTTAACTCTTGACGTAAAAGGAAATGTTATTAGTTTGTAATTTTTTTTAAATACATGATCAAGAAATAAAGGGATACGAGCGTATTACATATAAAAAAATTCTTTGTATTAACATAATTTAAAATAATTTATTAAAAGTTTACGTATTACAATAGCTTCAATTTTAACTCGTACGTAATTTTATTTAAACTTATATATATATATATATATATATATATATATATAATAATACTTGAATGTACCTATAATTTAAACAGAAGGTACTATGTAAGCATTAACTGAAATAAGTTCAATCGTTTTTATGCTTCCCCGTAACGCTGTATCAAGAGTTGTTTACAACGTTTAGTTACAATGATACCATTTTAGTGCGTACTTCTTACTTGCTTCAGACTAAACAGGTAAATAGTGTACTTAAACGGAATTGAACGGTGGACAAGTGCGTCAGTGGGCAGTGGGTCAATGTCCATATTCGGGGCTTTTACCCGATGACCGTATTAGATTCTATCTCGTTCTATTTCCTTGCGGAACATACCTTGATAGTATATTGTTCCTATTTTGACGAGACGTTTGGCTCAGTTTGTAGTGACTACTTGCTGTGATAGCGGTCGCGGGTTAAAGTCCCGCTGGGGGCATTCATTTGTGTGATAAGCACGAATGTTTGTACTTTAGTCATGGGTGTTTATATTTATAATATGTTTTTATATTTAAAAGTTACACATGTGTAGTGTATCAACTATTTGGTATCCATAACACAAGCCTTCGAGCTTAGCATGGAACTAGATGGTGCTATGTGTTAATGCCCCAACATATTTATTTATATTTATTTATTTATTGTTTTATACGTCTATGATTTTTATGTAATAAACATCAATTTTAAGTTACAACTTTTATTTATTGTTTTCTCACATATGTATGGATAATTCTAAAAATATTACGGCCAAAGAAATTTCCAAAGATATTATAATTTTTTGCCGGTCCCTATACACTTTAATTCTTGGGGCAAATCTACGCTACAATGTTTACAACTTTTTTTTAAATAAACTTATGAATAAAATGGTGGTCTTTAAAAAAATAATGAATAGGGGGCACCTGTGTTCGTGCTTACACTTGTACTTGTACCTACTATTATGACTTCTGTACAACTTTGAAATTGGCAACCGTGACCGGATTACATAGAAGGTATAGATAGAAGTAATTGAATTACATAATATAGTTATTCAAGCTTCAATATATCATAAATTTATACTAGCGACTCACCCTCGCTCCGCTCATGTTCGTCCCCACTTACGTCATAACGTTTAGTATAGATTTCTCAGATATGAGATATTTGCTCGCAATAAAAAGTATCCTATATATATTGACCCGGTTAACCAGCTATCATTATACCAAATTTCGTCAAAATCCCTCTAGTGGATTTTCCGTGATGCGGTAACAGACAGACAGACAGACAGACAGACAGACAGACAAAAATTCTAAAAACTATAGATTCGGCCTCTGTATCGATAATAATGGCTATTTCAATAAGATTTTCCAAAAAAACATTTATGTACAGATTCAGCTTAGTTACAATTTTATTATAATAGGTATAGATTTAAAAAATCATTTTCAATTTAGTTTCCAAAAGCATTCATTTTTAACTTGTCATGAAGTGACTAACATGTAACACTATACTCGTGAACGTCTATTCGTGACCCCACATAGATTTCAAACAATAGAAAGTTTCTTCAGAACGTAACTTCTACTGTCAAAATAATGTTCATCTTTCTTAGATAAATCATCCGGGAAAAAGTTTAACAATGTGTAATGAAATTATAGCTATCTAGCGTCTAATTTGATTGTTTATATATTTTCTTTTTTATTATTTTTAAACGATTTCAAAGAAGGAAAAGACTGAATTCATAGTGTAAATTCTTAGTTTGTTACGCAATAATTTTGCTTATTGGTTGTTGATTGTAATGGTAATGATATGTCCAGTAACTCCAGTAACTCCAGTGTGAATACCTCGAAGTAAATACAAATTTTACTTAAAGACGTATATTAAAATATACTTTTATTTTTAAATCTAGATGACACGTTTTGCTCAGTTTGTAGTGATCCTACTTGTTGTTCCAGCAGTCGCGGGTTCGAGTCCTGCTGGGGGCATTCATTTGTGTGATGAACACCAATGTTTGTACTCCAGGCATGGATGTTTACATTTATAATATGTATGTATTTACAGTTATATATGTGTTGTGTATCAACTATCTGGTATCCATAACACAAGCTTCGTAGCTTACCATGGAACTAGATGGCGCTGTCTGTTAATTTCCCAACATATTATTTATTATTGTGAAACTTGACAAAAACTTCGACTTCGTGAATGACTTAAACAATTAACTAATTAAACAGACAAATTTAAAAAAAAATGTATTTTATTTTAAAAATAAGCTTCAACTATATTCCAAATATATATCAAGCACATTTTTATAATTAAATTATATGTATGTAGAGATGAATAAGAATTATGAAAAGCAATTCATTTAGCGAAGATATAGCGTAATATAGCCACAAAAAATATGTACCTTTTCTAGAATTCAGTACCTTACCTATACAGATAAATAAAATTGTAGTTTCTATTTGTAATGTCAAAATAACAGCCTTTTACTAAATAAATGTGAAAGAATATACGGTAATAATAACAAAGAAATTTTTTTAAATTTTTTGTCTGTCTGTCTGTCTGTCTCTTTTTTCCGGCTAATCTCCAAAACGGCTGGACTGATTTTGACGGGACTTTCACTGGCAGATAGCTGATGTTATAAGGAGTAATTAAAGCTACTTTTATTTAAGAAGAAAATAGGGTTTTGTGCAAATAAATTAAAACCCATGAAATTGTGAATAAATGTGCGTCCCTAAGTATAAAATATGTTATGAGAAAGTTTGCTTGAATGAATATGTCACTAAATTTATTTACTATTTTTCTATATTTTCCCATGTTGACAACTTATTAAACACTAAGTAAATTAATAAATAATATTTCTTACCATATGTAAAACGAGCAGGATTCCTATAGCGAGCCCGCGCCTATGCCGCATCTTGAACTGCAAACAAAACATAAAAATATTACTTACATTCGTCTACTATTGAAAGTTCAAATATTTGACAGTATGTTAGTTAAAGGGAAAGTTCAAATATATTGGGTTCCCATGAAATTTCTTAAGCACACATGTACAGGAAATTTAAGTTAGTGGGATCTATTTATCACTCTAAATCTTATAGTAATATTATATATATAGATGCCTTAGTTGGCTCAGTAATTGGTAAAAGTTCTTTGAAAGATAACTCGGCCCTCTTTAATTATAATGCCTTTGCTTGCTTTGACTTTGAAGTTATCAAATGCACGCTTAAAGTTAATTACGTTGTGGAACTTAGTCTTTGACTGCTTTTTGTAGACTTGTATTATCTGTCTACAAATTATATATAGAAATGAATAATATAAAAAAATATCTGTCTGTACGTAAGTAAGAAATTTTATTTTTGCATATAAGTTTTGAATTTAATATTTTTAACTAAGATTTCATTCATAATATGCTTAGATAGTGCTTTTTGTACGGCTTACATGGATGGGACGGCTGTATATTCAAGATTTAATATGTTTAATAATATCCATCCTTTTTAAATATTTTTTTAGTGTCTTATATTTCAAAAGAATCAAGTTAAAATGACTCAAAAATAAGATAATAAAAAAGAATATAATCAAAAGTCCCAGTGACGATAATAGAACTAGAATGTAAAAAGTGCTTTAATGTTATTTCTCATATACCAGTCACGCCCATTGTCGTTCTGTACCCACGAGACAAATTCTTATTTAATTGAAGTCAACCTTTTTAATTCTTATCAATTCAAGAGTAACAGTTATTTTAGTATTTACTTGCATTGCCCGCGGCTCCGCCCGCGTTCAGTTGACCAAAAACCAAGTTCTTAGCTTTTACATAATAGTATACTCTTACATTGCAGTTTTTGTACTTTTTCTCAGAAATGAAATATTTTCCCGCGGTAAAAAGTATCCTATATGTTGACCCGGATAACCAGCTATCACCATACCAAATTCCATCAAAATCCCTCCAGTGGTTTTTCTGTGATGCGGTCACAGACAGACAGACAAAAATTCTAAAAACTATAGATTCGGCATCTGTATCGATAATAATGTCTATTTCAATAAGATTTTCCAAAAAATATTTAATGTACAGATTGGGCTTACTTACAATTTCATTATATGTATAGATTACTGTAACACTCTTATTTCTCTCTAATTTGAGAAACAATCTTATCTTGGTACTTCAAGTAGGATATATGTTTCATGGGGTGTAATCTTTTGCAAATTGTTATTTGGCACTAGTTTAATATAAACGAAATATTAAGAATAATAATAGTGAGTCTTCACTATTCAGTCCTCTTAACGTTTTGTAATAATATATAATTTTATTTTAATATTAGCAGAACCCGCGGATTCGCCCGCGTTTAATCTACAATAAAACTTTTTGGCTTTTTGTTATATAGCGCATGTATTTAATTAATATATGTATATAGTTTTATAATAATGTATGGAAGTCCCTTATTTGGGTAGTAGCGTGAAGATGTGTGCCTTCTTCTATAAACGGGCTATCTAATTTAAAAAGAATTTTTCAAATCGGATTAGTAGTTCCTGAGATTAGTGTGTACAAACAAAGAAACAAACAAACAAACAAACAAACTATAGATTATTTGTACACATTTAATGTAATTATAATTTGTATTACAATACATTATAGTTTTATATATTTCCTAATCATTTGTATAACACTAACTAGCTAGCGATTAAATTAATTATAGATGAAATAACAATTTATCCTAAATTAATTATTAGCATTTTACAATGCAAAGTAAGATATTTCTTTATAAATGAGGTAAGTAAGGAAAATTAATGTCAGAGGCAAAAAGGTTGCCGCGTAGTGACTATATACGAAGGTATTTCAAGATTTCAAGGAAAAGTAAGTACTAAGATACAATAACTTTCTTAATGTAAAGGTTAAACTAATCGTACATTTATCTATACTAATATTATAAAGAGGTAAAGTTTGTGAGATTGTGAGTTTGTGACGTTGTAGGGGGTAATCTCTGGATCTACTGAACCGATTTAGATGAAATTTGGTAAAAAGATAGTTTGAGACCCTGGAAAAGACATAGGATACTTTTTATCTAGGAAATTATCCCTTAAGGGGGTGAAAACGGGGATGAAAGTTTGTATTGGAAATCAAGCTAGGGACGAACCCGAGCGAAGCGAGGGTGAATCGCTAGTATTAAATAAGTAAAGAATAGCAACAAATAGTGTATTATAGTAAAATAAATAGAATAATCAATTTATAAGTCTTAATTTACAAGAGTATCTAAATATTGTCAGATTTCGATTAACGAAAGTCTTTTTGACGGAAATATCTCAATTAAAACCATTAACACAACTTCTTTCTCTTTTCGTAATTAATCAAAAGGTCCTGATTAACATAAAATTATGTTTAATATTATATAAACGAAATGGTTATTTAAATTTAATTGGTTGGAATAAGTTGAAAGTAAATACGAATACACAGAAGTTTAATCATTATTTTGGGCGTTCCAGAAGAACGTTCGATGTAAGTGGGTCGTGGGACTAGGGGAAAGTATCTGAATGCCGGACTGCCGGAACTCTTTGAAGAACCACAGTTTTTATACATTTCATCGGAATGCTACGGCTGGTAATGATTGTGTAATTGCATTTGTTCGTGTTTTGTCGGACGGAAGGACTGATCGATCGCGCATGCCCTTTTATATATGTTCTATATGTAAGATTCTTGATATAATTTGTAATTTTCATAAAAAGTTTGCTAAGTCACCTCCTCTATAATTTATTTACCTAAAATTTTTGAATGTAATTAAAAAATGAAAAATATATAATAAAAATTAAGTATTTTTCGAATTAATACGTATACATATTTGTTTAAATGTTATCCCGGAAATCATCGTATAAGGGGATGAAAATGGGGTAAAAATTTATATGGGGAACCAACCTAGGAACGAACCCGACCAAAGTCAATAATAATAACAATAATAACATCTAGAGAGTACAACCACGTACCATACCATGTACACCATTTTGCTTTTTGAATTTCGAAGAGATTCTCACAGATGATAGATACAAAAGTTTTTACTTTTGTTTTTTAATTTATTCAGTTTTTTGTTTTTTTTTTCAAAGAAAATTGTCAAAAATGATCAAAAACTTCACGGTCGCCCAGGTACTGATATTTAAGTTAGGTACATTATCTTGATGGCTCATATTGCATTAAGTACTAGGAGCTTTTACTTTTATATATGAGTATAAGTTTCACCAGTTATATAATTGTAATTATATTAATGATACAATGTAGGCGATGGAATATGAAATATTAATTTTCATAGATAGTGCATAATTATGTTGATGTATTTAGATTATAGAGTTCTGAACACTAATATGTCTAATATTAATAATTTTCACTTTCTAAAGATTATTTTATTGTAGAAGATTTTATTATGTAAGCAAAATATATCTTCCTTTATGTTAATGGTTAATTTAAATGACGAGTTAAAAAAAAAATATAGTCGATAATAATTTTATTATTTTTAAATGAACTTCTGTCGTTACATATTCTTTGTACATTCAAGAATCGGTTATAATTGACTTCAATATTGATTGATCCAGCCATATTTCACAATAAATACAGCTTTAACGAAAGTGTTAACAATTTTCGAAAATAAAAACCAATTTATATAAATATTAAGCACATTTTCAACTGATAGAATTGGCAACTGGCAACATTGATTCCATTGATTTCGATGCTCGAGAACTGCTATTATGATCCGAAAATTATTCACGATCTTGTAATTTTGACAGTTATACACCCACAATTTGATATGTTCAATTTGATTTGTAAGTCATACAAGTTTAAACTCTTTTAGCAACACTTAAGGTTTCATTTACAATAACTGATACATGATTAAGCTTTTGTACGTACCTTATAAATTAATATAACAAACGAAGTACAATTTCAAACTAATAAAAGCTTTAATATCATTGAGTTAAAGCTTATTTCAACTCTAAAAGACTTTTAGTCGGTCTTTTTTCATTGAAGGCTTCGGAAATTGCTGCAGCACATTACAACGTGCGAGTAAAATTGGCGTGCGCCAATAAATGGTTCCTGGTGACATTTATTGTAAAAAAGAAAAGATAAGATGTATAATGTATATTATAGTATTAAGTAACACAAATCCTGTCCAATCCGCCGGTTTACAAGATTTTACACATGTTTTCTTTTTTCTTTTGATATCGGTCGCTTAATTTTTTTAACGTTTATCTTACGTGTCCATTATGTAATTTTGATTTATATAGAGGTTTTTAAATACATTTTTTAAATTTACATATGAATTAAGTATATAGATATAGTCTATATTAATGCCCTCTCTAAATGTGGACATATAGACGTTGTTGTGGACAGGGAAGAAGGCAACCTCATGAAAAAATTAGCACTAACCCTAAAGTCAGACAACTCGAGGGGATGGGGACGCTTCCGGCTCTATTATTCAGGAGGGGTTTATCTCGGCCGCAGTTGAATGCTAAAGTGATCCTGGGGTGGCCTGTGAAGACGGTGAGGATCGCATTGTGTGTTAATAGATGAGTCACCACGTAACTACTTGAATGTAGACAGGTGGTGCATTTTCTAATGTTAAAAATAACAGTATATTATGTTTGTAATGAACAGCTTAAGCCACGGGTTCGATTCTCGTATGTTGTAACAACGATAAGTATCAATAAAGGTCGAGGACAGAGTATAAAATCAAATAAGCATAATTGTTCTTTCTGACTATATAATAAATGAAAAAGATAAAGTTAGATGATGCCTCAGAAGATTTGTAAGATTCCACTCCTTCACTTGAATATATATAATGCAGGAGCTGCGAACTCTCTCATATTTAAAATTCTTATTGATACAAACATTTTATTGCCTCGTATTGCAAATGTAGAGTATGTTATAAAACTTTAAGCTTT